GATGTAAAGCCATGCTGTTATGTGGAGCTGTAGGGGACTCAGGTCAACAATTTCTGACACTGCCAGTGAAACGGAAGACCCAATACTATTATGGGCTACTGGACTCTTTTAGAATATTTTGCTGAGTTTACACGCCTATAATATTAAAATAACGAAACTTAACAAAAAAGGGGATACAGATGAATGTCCATTTTGTATCTGTGTATTCAAAGTAGTTAGGCTAGATATAGAGTTACATTCTCTTAATGAATAGAGGGATTTGTTCTAATAGTGTTTGTAAATAGGATATCATGTCCACATCTTGTACAGCAATTAACCACTAGGAAGAAAGTATGCAATGTGTTAATTATTGAAATTGTCCTACCAGTTTGGTTTGAAACTGTCTCATTGCTATTTGTCTCACAATAAAATTATGGAAAAAAATAAAATGAAATGAAAAATAAATAAATAAATCTCAGTGGCTTAACAATAAAGTTCTATATGCACTTAAAACCCAGTGAGGATCTTCCTCATTGTTTGGCAGCTAGAATGAGGTAACCCCAATGCAGGAAGATCACAGTAGTGGGGAACAGGCATAAGGGCACATTCACATATGTGCTAAATTATTTGTGACCAGCACATGGACAAGAACTGTCCAAGGTCAAAACTCCTGCTGAAGCCTTGCAGTCTGCTGGAAGTTAACTATAAGCAGAGATATTTGAGATCCTGAGGAGGCTTCCCTCTACTCATCCTCAAAGCTCACTGTGACCAGTCTCAGCTTATTAGTCATGGTTCCCGACACCCATATCCTTGGGATAGCATGAAATGCTGTGACTAAGTCAGTGCAAACCCATCAAAGCACAGAACTGACACTTCCCCGAGTATACAGACCACCTAGAATGGCACATTTACTCAGAAGAAACAATAATGAAATTAGCAAGAAATAACAAGAAGCCCACTTCTTGAGTTTTAAATATACCTTGGATTGCAAGTGATTTGTTCTGTGAGTGTTCTGCAAGATGAGGAAAGCTCTAATGAATTTTGACTTGATAAACAAGTGATATCTTGCTTTGCAAGTAGTACAAGATGGTGAATGTCACATGGTCAAAGATGAGCCAGTGGCTATCTCTGTCTCTCTCTGTCTCTGTCTCTCTCTGTCTCTCTCTCTCT